ACTGAAAGAGAAACACTTCACTGTTGATTATCATATGAAGTCTAATAAAAGCTGTTAATCTGTTAATATCCTGCTAATCTGCATACAGCAAATACAGAACATGCGACTTTAAAGCATCCAGCAAAGTGATAACTGTCCTCTGCCCACTAAGTAGTGACTCTACAAAAGATTATTTTCAATATCATCTTTATATTATATTTAGTTATTCTCCAGCGCAACAATGTAAGGAGCTCTGTGATTGGTTAGGAAAGGACAGACTGGCCACCTCGATTTTTCTTCACTGCACATTGATCCATAGCTTTGCTCTGTAAAGGCTAACAAAGTGCTTTTGCTTTACAAAGACATTCAGCGTCGGTATTCACTCTTTTAAAATGCCACTGAACACTGGAGTGAAATGGAGCCCTGATCCTCAGAGTTTTATTGTTGCTAACATTTCTTATAGATAGCACAGATAGTGCCCCACTGCAGTAATCACTCATGTCTAGATATTCCTGTTAAAAAGGAGTTTTTCCTCCCCACTGTAACATGGCAAACATAGCAAACGGATAATCCAGCTGAAGCTTCAGACAGCCGTCAGACAGTGAAACACTGCCATCTGCTGGACGCGAATAACAAAGACGCTGCTTTGACGGGTGAGGGAGTTTCAACAAGTCTGCAACGACTCAAGCATCAAACTACAGAACTATTCTAGCGGACATGGTGCTCTAATGACTGCTTCATTAACGCAGGTCAGAAAGGATCAAACATATCAATAAATCATAAAACACAAAACGTCTCTTATTGCCCAGGGCTCAGGAAGTGAGTGTGTTCCTTATAGCCCAACACGTTCTCACTCCCAACTCGTCAAACGTGTGACGCATGGTCAGGCTCCCTCTGCTTCACTTATGGACCATATGGACCACCAGGTAAGACCATTTAAACGGACAGCATTTATAGAATGACTATTAAAAGTCTGCGAGTGTCAGTAATGTTAATGTGGTTATGTTAGTAATACACCGAGTGCTAATATAACAGCTTTAAGATGCATTTGTAGATGTTATTACGTGTTTTACCGTCTTTATGGTGCTAGCTTAAAGTTACGGTGTAAACGTTAGCTTATATTGGAGGAAAGCTGTTACTGTTTAAACGATGTTAGCACAGAAATATTAGCTTCTGTCATGACTGATGAAGTTACTAGTTAATAAAGTTTCCAGTAAAGTGTTTAATCGCAGCCACAGACTGACAGCAAATATCTCGATTAGCTTCAGTGCATCTGTAATAAATATGTGCAAGTTTCAGTGCTTCGTTTAAACTGTATGATACTTATACTGACCCAGGGTCAGTGTAAAATACAATCCTAGCTGTGTGAACAAAGCCTGGCTGCTTTAATCCTGCATGACAAACCTCAGGATGCAGGTTATTATTACTCTTTCCTGCTGGCACACCTGTCACACCTGAGAGTCAGCTAGAAACTCACAGTGACGTGGACATCATGCAAAGACTGCCAGACTCTGTAATACTGCAAATGATCAGTGACTCAGGTTATCACTAAACTTTAAACGGCACCTCTGTGTCTCTGTGTGCTGAACATCTAGGATTGAGTCAGGCTGCATTGACTGTGGGACTTTAATGTGTTAAAAGCAGGTTGAAGACGGCTCAGAAACATTTGAAGATTAAAATTTAGCATTATGGCTGCTGGTGGTTTGTAAAGCCTCTACTCAGCTGTATTTTTGTTACTAATTTATGTTTGTTGTTGTTTAACACAGATTTCAGAAGAGCAAATATGCTTAATAGTTTAACTAGATTTCATTTGTCAGTGTGGGACTGCTGAGTCACCTGAAGAACTCATTTCATTCATTCTCCACATGATGTTCATTTACAGAAATGTTTCACAGGAACTGATTTCTCCCAAAGGGTGAACTAGTGTGTTTCCATAGATTACCTCTGTATGAATGTACTTCTTAAATGAAGGCAAGTGTTTGTCCTTTTTTGTTCCTCAGGTACAGTACGTGATATCAAGGGCAGGCGGTCATCACTGGGGGTAGACAAGAAGCAGACGTACTTCCAAGAGGGAGCTGCAGTGAGGTCAGAGGTCAGAATCTGAAACAGCTCAGGTTTATATTTTAGAGGTTATAAAAAATCAAAATGTATTATTTAAAGAAACCTTTAAATAATAGTCATAATTATGATTATTATAAGAAATATCAAACATTTAAGTGGATTTTCTGTTACACATATCGTGTTAGCCCTGCAATAAACTGGCAGCCTGTCTTTGTCCTGTATCAGCTGGGATAGGCTTCATCCTCCTGCAACCCTGAATTGGATACATTGTATTCCAATTATGTAATCTGATCATTTACAAACTCAAGGTATCTAATCAAAATGTAAGTGATGCCGCCCTTGACAGACAGGGAGATTTTATTCCTCAAAGACCATCATCCAGTCGAAGTACTAGTTGCCACGTGGTCAGTGTTCTCACAACCATTGATTTTATCTCACAACTTGTTTTCACCAAAGAATTTCAGTAAGTAAATATTCTTCAATCTCTTTTTCCCCCCAGTGTCTGCAGATCAGCATCAGTGTCCACGTGAAGAACCTAGTTATGTTGCCAGTGTCAACCCAACAAAAGGTACTTTACCTTCTTGTATATATTGTGATTCCTTTACTTTTATATTTGTTGTTATAGTTGAGTTAGGCAGGGCTTTTGTGCAGTCCTAAGAAACATACTGCCTAGAGTGTTTTTCACTTTGTGGAAGAGTTTCTTTATTTTTTTTCTGTTAGTGTGTGGAACTGAGGTGCTTCGTCAGGAGCTCCTTCAGTTGTTGGAGGATGGAGAAGAGGACGCAGCCATGACTTGTGAGACGTTGTCTGAGTCAGCTGCTACTCACTGGGCGATCAGAAACATGGTGTCCTTGCTAAAGTGGAAAGAGGCCAGGCCTTGTCTTATAGACAATATGTTAGCTACTCTGGATCCACAGTCACACCGTGTGTGTCAGTGTGGCAAACAAGTAGTTGTGAGGTGTCTGGACTGCCTGCCTCTTCCATTCCTTTGTGCTGACTGTGATATTGCAGTTCACACACGCTTTGTCCTGCACAGCAGAGAGGCAGTAACAGGAGGGTTTTTGCAGCCTTCATCAGAGTTTCACAATCCAATATGTACGGTTTTTAAGTCTTATGCATTTATTGCTATGTACTATGAGTGTGTGCTGTTATTGTATATTTATTGTGTATCATTTAATTTCCAATTCTTTTTATATATATTGTGTGTTTTTAATGTTAGTTCGGCTGTTGCCTGTGCAAAGACCAGACTGTGTGTGACTGCCCAGCAGGTAACGTTGAGGTTTCACCCGGTGCAATTGTGGCTCTTGTAACCATAAATGGTAAGTTGCTCTTTTGTCACACAGTACATACACAATAGATGTGTTTGCAGGTTTTATTGCAAATTGTACATTGCTACATTGTTTTGAATTACCCTCAGCCTGCAGTATATGTGGGCACCTGTCAAAGGTCATTTGGATTTACCAGACCGCTTTGAAAACAACATGGGAAAAAATTAATGTCTTTGTTGAGCCATGACTGGATTTCTCCTTATCCTTCCTAAAGGCCGTTATAACCTTGCACTGCCAGTGGTGAGCTGCACCAGCTGTGGCCTAATGTGGTCCCCCTCAGTTAAGGACTTCCAGGGTGGTGGATATTGGCCTGGCACCTTAAATTTCTGCACCCTGTTTTCAATGGATGTCTTTCAGTCTTTCTATGACATTAAGAAGCTGCAGCAGGGATGTCACTTAAGGCCTTTGTCAAAGTGCTGGATGAACGAACAGCCCATTTTGGAAGGGTGAGTTTCTAAATTTGTCAAGTTTAAGGAAATTGTGCAAATCAATGTTTATGATGACTGTCCGTGAATATTCTGTTGTTTGTCCTCTACTTAAAAGACTGGCCGAATATCAGCTGATGCCTTCAGCAAAAGTTTCTTGGAGTGGAGTGCTGTAAAGTTGAGGTGGACAGGATGTGCAAGGAGCCATGCTTTAGCTGCCCTGCCTGCACTCCAGACATGCTCGCCGTCTCAGTTGATGGAAACTGCAAGCTTTATCGCTTTCAATCAAATGCAAGGTACGTTATGCATTGTGTACATAAATCAAATATGGATTTGTACAAAAATTGTATTTTGATGTTTCTTTTCAAACAACTGTCACCGTGTTCGTTCAGCACTTCAGAGCAGGGGAACTTTGAAGGTGTCTTCATTGAGAAAGATGAGGAAGTTGCTGAGTTTGTGAAATACATCCAGAGACACACAAATGATGTAAGATACACATATATATCAGTGCTGTCAGCGTTAATCTTGTTAAAATGACGTTAACGCCATAACCATATACTCATACGTGTGTGTGTGGATACATATTTGGATGGGTGGATATTTATTTTGTTTTTCTCTTGGTGTTGTCGTAATACTATTTACTTGACTTTATCTTAATGTGTACTTCATTTTGAGTAGCTCACACTTGGATGTGCGAGGTATACTGCAGCTTGTAGTCTTGGATACGTTTAAGACATTTTGTTATAAGGTTGAATGAATTCAGCAGTCATGTATTGTGACCTCCTTTCTATAGATCAAATGGGGAGGTGCGTTTCAGGATGGGGCCGGTTCTACAGTTGGAGAAGAGGTGGACAAGTAAACAGTTTCCTGTCTAGGGCGGCCATCACAACGAAGTACATGTCTAAAGCAGGTGTGTGTCTGTGTGTGAGATTCCACTCAGTCTCCTGCTCATTCATTCTTATTTGTATACTAACTGAAATGCAGGGCGAACAGACATGCTGAGCCTCCTGGCTTTGGGCTGGAACAAAAGGAAAGTGGAACAACTGGGCCGCACTTTGAGCCAGAGATATCTAAAGGTCATTTTTTCAACACCCATTTTAATGTGTGTGGTAATGGGGGGAAACACCAGTACTCTAAAAATGTCCATATGAATGACATTTATTAATGTATTCTTAGATCATAAGGATCTTAGAGAACAAGTGGAGAGCCTGAATGCGAGCAGAAATGAGCTGGGTGTGGATGACGACACACTGCAGCAATGGGCTGAAGGTGAGTCTCAATATAATGCACTCGTGTATAACAACAGGACCCACCATGGCCTCATTAAAGAACTTAGAGTTAAGATCTTTCTGACAGTGTCAACAAACAATGAAAAATAAGCTTGTAAAAGCAGAATTGATGGCAGAGTTGTTGCGTTTGATCAAATTGGATTGGACCTGGGTTGAAGTGATGTCGTACTAGTTGGTTTTATAAAGCTGAACACCAACATACTTGTTATCTCATGATAATGCAGCACATGAAGGCTCCAGATGTCTTATAATGAATATCATCAAGTCAGTGATTACAGAGTCCACTGTAGTTTGGTGACTGTTACTCATCCTGTGTTCTGATTAATATTCCTCTCACTTAGAAACGGATCAAACTGATGGCAGCCTTGGAGCGTTGCAGGCACGAGTAGAGGAGCTTGTCGTCATCATCAGAGTGCGAACACAAAGTCTTTACAGACAAAATGGTGTCACAGTTTCTTTGAAACGGACCGTTTGATGCTCAGTTTGTACAGCTTGTACAGCTACTTTGTAAACAGAATAAAATCAGATCCAGGTTTGTTTAAGCTGGATGTGATTTGTTCTAGCAAACGAATTGATGAGTGTAGATTAAAATGTAAATATATGCATTATGTGAAGGTGTTCCTTTTTATGATTATTTACAGATAGCAACAAGAGGCGACACAGAATTCACAAGGTCATCTTAGATGAGAAGAAACGCTTGGCGGCTGCTGTTGACGACTACAACAAGGAAACAAGCAACAAAGCAAATCGTATCCAGTGATGCCCTCATGCAGAGCGACGTTTGGCCCTGGCAGAGCACAAGTGAACGTAAGCTCTTGATTTCTAAATATCCTTTTTAAACAAACTCCCAGTATCTGAGCAGCAGTTGAATGTTTTGTTCTTGAATCATAATATGCTGCTATGTTTTCCCATCTGATGTTGTTAAACTGCAGCTGCTGCTGACCTCCGGACAAAGAGAAAGGTCTTTGAGAAGGTGATGGCTGTGAGGCGCCTGAGAGAGGAGGAGATGATCCTTTGCAGGGAGATGCAGCATCACTGGACAGTGTTGCAAATGCGATCTGTGGTGTTGGGGACAATCTCCTCAGACTGTAAGCACATCTTTTATTTATTTATACATTTGGTGATGAATTGATTGAAAATAATAGCAGATGCTAAAGTCTTACTGGATCTTTTACCTATATTTGGGTTGCTAGCTAACACTGCCTTCTCCCTTAAAAAAAGTTTATTACATGATCCTAACTCCTTGTGTTTATGAGGTGAGTTTTTTTGTTTGTTTGTTTTACTTATATTTAATAGTTTTGTTGTTTTTACAGCCTCCCTTGTTGGCATGTCGGAGGATGCACAGAAAGGACTCCATAGCCTGGTTTAAAAACAAAGTGAACTGAAAGCTGAAACGCTCAAAGTAAAGGACGTGTACAAGAGAATCCTCAGCCACCAACCACTCCTGGAAATGGACTCGGAGGAGGAGGAGGACGTTTCAGACGATGAGAGTGATTTGAGCACTTCTGATGAAGACTGATTGTGTCATCATTGATGTTATGTTTGCTAGAATAAAAAGTTAATCACATCTGTTTAATGTGATTTTCATAATGTCTGTTTCAGAAATTGCTTATCAACAGACATTTTACATGTTGAGAAGAAAAATGTAATTCCCTTGGTGCAGTTGTTTACCCTGAATCATTCTTTCCCATCTAATTTAATGACTCGTGTACATGTTCAGATACAATAACATAATTGAATTCATGGGATGCTTTCTGGGCTGCTCAAATTACCGCAAAATGTAAAAGCACCAGGCAGCACACTCACAAGGACATGTTTTGTTCAGTGTTTTGTTGAAGAAATCAACAAGTACAACTGAGATGTTTGCTGTAGTGGTGTGTTTGTTAAGAAGCATGCCAGCACACTGGTGAACTGACAGTCCCAGAATGCACCCGAGCCAGTGACTCGCCCCAGAACAAATGACATTAATTATCTAGAAAGACAACCGTGATCAAAGACTAAGTAAAAGAGTAGGAAACAAAAGATAAGGAAAGGTACTGTGGGGTAGGAAAGAAAGGCCAGAGCCGTGCAAAATGACCTCCAGCAGGCCACAAATATGCACGTCTGCTCAAACGGTCAGATACTGACTCCATGAGGGTGGTATGAGGGCCCGACATCCACAGGTGGGGTTGTGCTTACAGCCCAACACCGTGCAGGATGTTTGGCATTTGCCAGAGAACACCAAGCTTGGCAACTTTGCCACTGGCGCCCTGTGCTCTTCACAGATGAAAGCAGGTTCACACTAAGTACTTGTGACAGAGTCTGGAGACATATTGGAGAACCTTCTGCTGCCTGAAACATCCACCAGCATGATGGTTGGGCAGTGGTCACTAATGGTGTGGGTGGCATTTCTTTGGGGACGCACAGCCCCCCGTGTGCTCGGCAGAGGTAGCCTGACTGCCATTAGGTGCTGAAATTAGATCCTCAGACCCCTTGTGAGACTAAATGCTGGTGCGGGTGGCCCCGGGTTCCTCCTAATGCAAGACAGCGCTAGACCTCATGTGGCTGGAGTGTGTCAGCAGTTCCTGCAAGACGAAGGCATTGATGCTGTGGACTGGCCCGCCCATTCCCCAGATCTGAATCCATTTGAGGACATCTGGGACATCACGTCTCACTCCATCCACCAACTGCACCACAGACTGTCCAGGAGTTGGCAGATGCTTTAGTCCTGGAGTCTGGGAGGAGATCCATCAGGAGACCATCTGCCACTTCATCAGGAGCATGCCCAGGTGTTGTAGTGAGGTCATACAGGCATGTGGAGGCCACACAGACTACAGAGCCTCATTTTGACGTGTTTGAAGGACATTACATCAAACCAGATGAATGATTCTGTATTGCACTGATCAAGGAACCAACCCAATAGGAGCTAAAGGCATCCTCTTCACATTACTTAACATAGTGAGTTTATACTATGTTTAATGTGCATTTTCTTCATCAGTCTAGAACATAACATGTTAGCGCTCCCTGGTTCTTTTTGGAGACAGATCCTGAGACAGCAGGCAGCTTTGGAGAACTCATGCCAGCTGTGGTCATTAAGGAAACTTTGATTTAATATTGATTTCATGACAACTATCCTCAGGCACATATTCCTGGATATATACAATGACACGAGTAGACACTAACCCCAGCAGTCTGGTGCTATGACAGCATAACTAAGGGCTGACCTGAACCAGCCCCAACTATAAGCTCTATAAAGAAGTGAAGTCTTATGCCAACTCTTAAAAGTCTTGACCATGTCCACCTCCAAAACTCATAATGGACTTTGGAGGTGGACAGCTATCAAGCTCCTCACAGAGGAGCAGCTTGACAGCTAACAGCTCCCAATTTAGTTTAGTCCAAATACATGAATTCAAATTGAGGTGATAACTATTTATCAACAGTATGAATGTCTGTTCCCGTCCAACAAAGTTGTTACTACATACCATGTTGAGCAGGGCTTCCACTTGACTTAACTTCTTCTTTTTCCTGAAAAACATGATATAAACAAACAATTAATTCAGAAAGACATGCAGGTTGCATACAAAAAGGAGCCTACAAACATTTGTGTACTGTTGAATGGCTCAATATATTATACAGTTAGTTTACAAAATATAAGAACCACTACAATGCTTGTACTGCCAGCATCGAGTGGCATGTCAGCAAAGCAACACTGCTTACATTGTGGCTCACAAGCTCCACTCCTTTTCATCAAAACCAAAATTTTATCTACATTCTGTTTTTTACACTTTAAATCCCAGTTAGGTTAAATATTACCAGTAGCTTTTCAGATAAAACAGTAATAAAGTCCTAATGGTTTCATAAATCTTCATATTTTTTTTCATATAAGCATCGGGACAAGGCTGTCTTGCAACTGTTGAGGTCACTAGTGTGCGCCCTATTTCTTCCAGGATCACTCTTCATTTGTAGGTTTTAGTGGACTCCTACTACTGTGAAGTGGTTTTCATGGGACAGGGGCTTGTATTCCAAGATCTGGGAGATTGTAGAAATGAGCTGTGATGCCCTTCTTGCCATCTTTCCAGAAATATCAGTGATCTGGAAGCTGTTAGGCTGACTTACAGCAGCAGCACTTTCTGCACCTGCAGAAACTCCAGGACACATTTACTAACAGTGTTTGTTGCTGTGTGTGCTGCAGCTGCAGCTTTGAATTTTTTTGAGAGCTAATATTTTGGCTTATGGTGTCTTGTTATGAAATGTACAAGAGTAAGAGTGTTAGCATGTGTGTCAAAGCTACGTTTGACTGGGAAACTCAAAGCTCAATAACCTGTATCAACAACAATTCACTGCAGCCTGTGTAATATTTGATGCATCATAATTTATTCCAGTCTATCTTGCAAATACATGTTTGCGTTGCAATGTCATGCACAACACACACAACTATTAGAGCCTTAAGATCAAACCTGCGTCATCTTTTGGTCCCACTGCAGTGTAGCAGTCAAACAAGGAGAAGTGAAGTGGCCCCAAATGGCCAGGATAGAGATCAGAGGGTTAATGCGTAAAATGCATAAAAATATTATTGATTACAGGATAATACATTAATGTTAATATCAACAATAAGCTTTTTACTCTGAGTTACAAGTATAAACAATGCTGTTGCATTTACACTTACATTTTTTACTATAAGTATGGAAACAAGTGAACAGCATTTTATAATAAGTTTAACTGGAATTCTGTACACTGAAAAACAAACAACAGATAAAAAACACAAACAAACAGCCAGTGCCTTCATCTGTCCATTAAATGTCAAACATCGCTTTGACCTGTAGTCTCTGCTCGTCAGCACATGCTTTTAAAAAGAGCTCCATGTCCTCTGCAAACTGAAAAACAAAGAGGAAGAAGTCCCTCTACACAAAAACACTGTGGATGACAGGCCAGGCAAACATCTATTGACCTGTTTGAATGCCTCCTCATCATGTGAGCCTTGAAGTTTTTTTGTAAGAAGACTAAGACCACAGTGAGGACGTTTCATTTTCATGGACTTTCCACAAGCCCCAGTTTCATTTAGCACAGAGGGTGGAGCACATGAATGTTCTACCCAAGATTCAGGAAATGGTTTAGATGCTGGAGACGAGACATGGAGAGGGAGACGAGGCTCCACGGAGAGTTCAGTGGGGAGCAGTCCTGAATGCTGACATGACAATAATTGCCTTGCCATATCCCCACGCTGTATGACTGTCATGTTACAGAAGGGCAGTGAAAGTGCACCGGCACATCATTTTGTCTGTAAGAGAGAAAAAAGAAAAACATGTAATAAATTTGT